GCGCCGACGCCCACGAACATCTCGACGAAGTCCGAGCCGGAGATCGAGAAGAACGGCACGTCCGCCTCGCCGGCGATCGCCTTGGCGAGGAGCGTCTTGCCGCAGCCCGGGGGCCCGACGAGCAGCACGCCGCGCGGGACGCGCCCGCCCAGACGCATGAACTTCTTGGGGTGCTTGAGGAACTCGACGACCTCGGAGAGCTCGTCTTTCGCTTCCGTGACGCCGGCGACGTCCTTGAACGTCACGCCCGACTGCTCCTTGGAGAGCACGCGGTGGCGCGACTTGCCGAAGTTGCCGAGCATCCCGCCCCCGCCCCCGGCGCTCCGCAGGCCCCGGAAAATCAGGAACCAGAAGAGCAGGATCAGCACGAGCATGAACGTGAGCGGGCTGAAGAGGATCTGCGTGAGGAACCCCGGCCCGTTGTTCGTCTTGAACTCGCCTCCGGTCAGCTCCTTCACGTCCGCGTACACCGTCTCCTTGGTGCCCACGGGGATCTTGAACTGGATCTTCTCCGCCTGGCCGCTCGTGGAGGCCTCGGGCTTGAGCGTCGCGGTGACCGAGCGGTCCGTCATCTCGATCGTGGCGGGGTCGATGGACTCGTCGTTGTAGTACGCGACAAACGTCTGCCACGTCACGGCCCGCATCTGCGAGCCGACGGACTGGAACACGACGATCAGCATGAGCGCCAACGCGAGCAGGACGAGCCACCCCGCGCCGCGTCCAACCTTCTGGGGCGGGGCGTTCTTCCCGTCGCCCGGCTTGTTCTCCGGGCCCTTCTCAGGCGAGGGCGGGCGATTCTCGTTCTCTGATCCCATGCGCGGCAGCCTTTCGTTCAACGCGAGCCCGTACGGCTCCCGTGAAGGTTCGGTTCTGAGTGAGCATCGTATTCAGCCGATCTCACCACGACGAGCGGAGTTCCGAGACGATCTCCCGGGCCAGCTGATCGATCGTCGCCCGCTGGCCCGTTTCCAGCCGCTCCTGAGCGCCGAGGGCCGGGACGAACGTCTCGGCGCCGCGGAAATTCTCCCTCGCGACAAGGATTTCATCGGTCCGCAGGTCCCGCCATTCAAACGAGACCGTCACCACAACGCCCAATTCCTGCACCAGGCCGCTGCGGCTTTCCGTGGTCGATTTCTTGAGATCCGCCCCGACGATCCGCCCGCTCAGACGCGTCGTCGATCCGCCGCTCGTGTCGACGCGCCACGGCGTCCGGGCGTGGATCTCCTTGATGATCGCGTCCGTCAGCTCGATTTCGAGCCCGTGGGCGAACGTTTCGTTCTCGAAGACCGGCACGGACACCGTGCGGATGTCATCTCGGTACACCCCCGAGAAGCTGTACCCCCCGTCGCTCGACGCGCACCCCGCGGGCCCGCACAGGCCGCAGAGCCCGCACAACCCGACCGCGACCACGGCATGGATCAGGCGCCGGCTCACCCCTGGTCCCCTTCGCCGTCGCCGGCGGATTCCTCTTCGGTCTCGGCCTCCTCTTCGGCCTCCTCTTCGGCCTCACGGTCCGCCTCGATCTCCTGCTCGGGCGTGAGCAGCGCGACCTCCTCGCCGCGCGATTCGAGCATCTCCAGGGCCCGCTGGGCCGCGACCGACTCCGGGTGCGACCGCACGAGCCGGCGGAGCGTGTACCGCGCGCTGGGCCAGTCGTCCTGCGTCAGATACCACGTGGCCGCTTCGAATTGCTGCGCGGCGATCGACTCATCGATCCGCGTGCTGAGCCCCTCGTCGATGCCGACGTCCCGCGCCGCCTGCCCGTACCGGGCAAGGAAGTTGCGGATGCGCACGTCCGCGTCGAGCAGGCCCGACGCGTCGTACCGCGGGCCCTTGAACCGGGCGATGTCCGTGAAGATGCGCCGCGCCCGCGCGTGCTGGGCGTTCGGGCCGTCCGGGAAGTTGAGCAGGTACACGTCGTACGAGTCGCGCGCCAGCGTCATATCCCGGCGCCCGTAGTAATAATCTGCCAGCGCGATCAGCGCCCGCTCGGCAAGTTCGCTCCCGGGAACCCGCTCGCCCGTGCGGATGTAGACCTCACGGATGATCGGCTCCGGATCCGCGTAGCGGATTCCGAACGACTTGAGCTTGAGCCCCGCGGCGTACATGTCCGCGATATCCAGCTCCCGTTCGATCGCGCGCACGAACTCGGCGCTCTGCGGGTGGTTGCGGATGATGTCCTCGTAGTCGTACAGCGCCGTGAACTCTCGGTCGAGGACCAGCAGCGCGTTGCCGCGGAGGAGCAGCGCCTGCGGTCGCTCCGGGTTGCTGCTCGTCTTGTTCGCCTCGAGCCAGGTGTCCATCCGGCGTCGGACCTCGGCCGCGTTGCCGTCGGCGAGCAGGCGTCGCATCTCCGCCATCAGGGCGGCGTCCGACCCTGGCTCGGGGGCCGAGACCTGGTCCCACTCGCCCCGCTCGTCGAGGCGGTATTCCGTGGACTGCGCGGGCGCGAGAGAGCCGGTGAGCCCCAGCGCCGCGACGATGGTCACAAGCGATCGTGTTCGCATGGCATCAGGATACAAGCCGGGGCGTCCTCGCGGGGATCACGAGGCCTCGTCGTCTTCCGGCAGCCGCGCGAAGATGAGCCGCCCGGCGCTCGTCTGCGTCGTGCTCGTGACCACGAGCCGCACGCGTTGGCCGATCTTCGACTCGCCGTTCTCCGCGACGACCATCGTGCCGTCGTCGAGGTAGCCCACCGCCTGGCCCTCGTGCTCGCCCTTGCGGATCAGCTCCAAATCGATGCCCACGCCCGGGATCACGTTCGGCTTCAGCGCGTTGGCCACGTCGTTCACGTTCAGCACCGGCACGCCCTGGATCCCCGCGACCTGCGCGAGGCCCACGTCCGTCGTCACGATCGTCGCCGGCACGTCCCGCGCCAGGTCGATCACCAGCTGGTCCACCGGGCCCGCCGCGAGCGATTCTTCGATCCGCACCGACGCCCGCGGCTCCTGCTGCAGACGGCTCACCATCTCGAGCCCGCGGCGCCCGCGCGTCCGCTTCAGGCGGTCGCCCGAATCGCTCAGCAGCTGCAGCTCGTTGATCACGAAGCTCGGGATGATCAGCTCGCTCGGGAGCATCCCGGTGTGCGCGAGGTCGTAGATCCGCCCGTCGATCAGCGCCGACGTATCCGCCACGAGCGGCTTGACGCCCCGGACACGCTTCGTGAACTCCACATAGGGGATCACGAGCCGAAAATCGTCGCGCGTCTGCAGCACCGTCGTGATGCCCAGGTAGCACAAGCCCAGGCCCAGGATCACCTTCGTGAGCAGGATCGTCGGCGCGAAGGGCTCGTCGAGCTGGTACGTCTTGGTGATCACATCGATCACAAACCCGAGCACCACCGTCGCGAGCAGCCCCGCGAGCGTCCCGAAGAGGATCGCGCTGATCGTCGAGAGCTTCCGGTTGGGCGTCAGGACGTCCAGCAGGACGATGCACCCGAAGAACCCCAGCGAGAGCAGCAGCACGAGCCACCAGTTGTCGACCAGCTTGAACCGCTCGGCGTCCTCCGAGACCGTCACCAGCCCCAGGGAGACCACCACCACGAACAGCAGCAGAAAGATCGCCCGCATCGCCTTGACGACGATCAGCTGGCTCCGCGTGTGCTCATCGGGATCGAATCGGACGGGATCCATAGCCGAGCAGTGTAATCATCACGCACAAAGCCCGAGCGGGAAGCTACACTGACCCGTCCTCGTGGCTCAGGCTGGCGGCCGGGCCCGGTGCACGGGTGGCCCGTGAACCTGGTCAGGGCTTGACCGCAGCAGCCATAAGCGGCCGTCGTCCGGTGCCGCCGGTGTCCTGGTCGCCTGCCCGGGCCACGAGGGATCCTCCTTCGGGGGGGTACGCGCCACTCGGGAGATCCATGTCCTACACCGTGCTCGCCAGGCGATACCGCTCGCAAGGCTTCGACGAGATCGTCGGCCAGAACGCCATCGCGCGCACCCTCACCAACGCCATCGATTCCGACCGCGTCGGGCACGCCTACCTCTTCGTCGGCACCCGAGGCGTCGGCAAGACCACCATGGCCCGCGTCTTCGCCAAGGCGCTCAACGGCGGCACGCCCGAGATCGACGCCGCGATCATGTCCGGTCGCGACACCGACGTCATCGAGATCGATGCCGCGAGCAACTCGAAGGTCGACGAGACGCGCGAGCTGATCGCCAACTGCATCTACAAGCCCCTGCGCGGGAAATACAAGGTCTACATCATCGACGAGGTCCACATGCTCTCGACGGCGGCGTTCAACGCGCTGCTCAAGACGCTCGAGGAGCCCCCGGAGCACGTGAAATTCGTGCTCTGCACCACGGAGACGCACAAGGTCCCCGCGACGATCCAGTCGCGCTGCCAGCGGTTCGATTTCCGCAACCTCGCGACGAAGGAAATCGCCGACCACCTCACCGAGATCGTCAAGAAAGAGAAGCTCGAGGCCGAGCCGGAGCTGCTCCAGGCCGTGGCGCGCCTCGGGAACGGCTCGATGCGCGACGCCCTCTCGCTCCTCGACCGGCTCATCGCGGCTGTCGAGCCCGGCGAGGCCATCACCCTCACGACGCTCGAGCAGCTCCTGGGCCTGCCCAACCGCCAGCTCATCGCCCAGCTCGTCGGCACGATCGCCGACGCCGATCCCGGCGCCGCGCTCGCCAAGGCGGACGAGCTCCTCGCCCGGGGTATTTCCCTCGAACAGGTGGTCGACGCGATGGCCGGGCGTTTCCGCGACCTGATGGTCCTGCTCACCGCCGGCGCCGAGACGCCGCTCGTCGACCTCACGGGCGAGGCTCGCGACGAGGCGCTCGAGCAGTCCCGTCGATTCGACGCCCCGGCGCTCGTGCACCACATCGCGGTGTGCGAATCGATCGCGCGGTCGGTCAAGTCGAGCACGACCCCCCGGGCGCTTTTCGACGCCCTGATCGTTCGGCTCGCGACCGCGGAGCACTTCGCGGACGTCTCCGCCCTGCTCAACGGGGCGTCGCGAGGCTCGCCCGCGAGGACCCCGGCAAAAAAAGCCTGACGGCGCCGCGCGAGCCCGCACCGCCGGCGCCACGACCCAGCGCCCCGGCGAAGGCCCCGGAGCCCCCTCCCGCACCCCCGGCGCCCCGTGAGCGGGCGCCCGAGCCGGCGTCGCACGTCGAGGTCAAGCCCGGGCCGGCGTCGAAAAAGAAGTCAACAGCGCTCGACCCCGCGGAGGTCTGGACGCAGGTCATGGACACCCTGGGCGGCAAACCGACGTTCCGCGCCGCGTTCGAGCACGCGTCCCTCGTGGCGCTCAACGAGGAGCGCGCCCTGATCCGCCTGGGCGAGCACGAGCAGCTCGAGTTCGCCCGCATGAGCGCGTCCACGCTCGTCGACACCTTCAAGGCCATCACCGGACGCCGCCTCCGCGTCGCGTTCGAGTCCCCGGGGGCGGAGCAGAAGCCCCTCGACACGCAGGTGATCACCCCCGAACTCAAGAAGGACGCGGAGAGCAACCCGCTCGTCCGGCGCGCGATGGAGCTGTTCGACGCGCGCATCATCCGCGTCGAGGAACGCCGCCCGGCCGGGCGACCCTCGACAGGCCAATCCACGGAAGGGACCAACGGCTGATGTTCGACCAGATGAAAGCGATGGGGGCCCTCGCCGGGCTCCTCCGGGACAAGGACCGCGTCCGCCAGATCGCGCAGGATTTCGAGCAGCGACTCGAGCGCATCTCCGTCACCGGCCAGGCCGGCGGCGGCGCCGTCCGCGTCACCGTCTCGGGCAAAATGCGCGTCACCGACGTCTTCCTCGACCCCGCGCTCGTCGCCGGAATGACCCACGGCGAGGGCGGCCAGGCGATGGCGCAGGCCCTCATCATGGACGCGACCAACGACGCGCTGCTCAACGCGCAGATGCGCGTCAAGGACGAGACGCAGAAGATGACCGAGGAACTCGGACTCCCCGAGATCCCTGGCCTCAACAAGCTCCTCGGCTAACGCGTGCCCCGCATCGCTCTACAATCCAGCGAGTGAACGAACCGTCGAACCAACCGAGCCCCCAGCGCGTCGCGCTGAGCCCCCTCGCCTCGGGCTACCCCGAGCCCGTCGAGCGGCTCATCGCCGAGCTCTCGCGCATGCCGGGCATCGGCAAGCGCACCGCCGAGCGGCTCGCGTTCTACATCCTCAAATCCGAGAAGGACGAAGCCCTCAAGCTCGCCCGCGCGGTGCACGACGTCAAGACATCCCTCCGCCACTGCTCGGTCTGTTTCAACATCACCGAGCACGACCCCTGCCCCATCTGCGCCGACCCCCGACGCGACCCCGCCGTCGTGCTCGTCGTCGAGCAGCCCAAGGACGCCATCGCGCTGGAGCAGACCGGCATGTACTCGGGCACCTACCACGTGCTCATGGGGCGCATCAACGCGCTGGAGGGCGTCGAGCCGGAGGACCTCACCATCGGGGGGCTCCTCACCCGCGTCCGCGACGCGAAGGCGAACGCCCAGCAGACGCCCGTCCGCGAGGTCATCCTCGGGCTCAACCCGAACCTCGAGGGCGACGGCACCGCGCTCTACCTTGTCGAGCAGCTCGAGAAACTCCCCGTGACGGTCTCGCGTCTCGCGCGCGGGCTCCCCTCCGGGAGCCAGCTCGAGTACGCCAACAAGGCCGTGCTCGCCGACGCCATCCAGGGCCGCCAGCCCGTCAGCGGCGGGGGCCACCGATGAGATTCGACACCTCCCAGCACATGAAGATGAGCCAGTCGATGAAGCTGGCTCCCCGGATGATCGAGTCCATGGAGATCCTCCAGGCCTCGGCGCAGGAGCTGGAGGAGCGCATCGAGCAGGAGCTGGAATCCAACGCGACCCTCGAGCTCGTCGAGCCCACGGGCGACGCCGACGAAACCCGACAGCCGACCCAGGACACCCCGAGCTCGGCCGATGGCGAGGACTTCTCACGCGTCGCCGACATGGAGCGCGACTACGGCGAGGACGTCAACGACGACGCCTCGCCCAACGAGCGTGAGCGGTCGCGCATCTCCGAGTACGAGCCCGGCTCCTACTCCGCGAGCCGCATGGCGGGCGAACGCGACGCCAAGATCGACGCGATGGCGAACACCGAGGCCTCCGGCCTCTCCCTCGCCGAGCAGCTCGCGCGCCAGTGGGCCGTGGTGGACGTCGACGAGGCGCTCCTTCCCGCGGGCGAGCTGATCATCGCGCACATCGACGACGACGGCTACCTCCGCACGCCCCTCGCGGACATCCTCAAGTCCGCGCCGCGAACCGTCGCGAAGGGCCTCGACGAGCAGACCCTCGAGCGTGCCCTGCTCGCCGTCCAGCTCTTCCTCGAGCCCCCGGGAGTGGGGGCCCGCGACGCCCGCGAGTGCCTCCTCCTGCAGATCGACGCCATCACCGACAACGAGACCACCGCCCAGCTCACCAACGCCCGCCTCGTCATCGATCAGCACTACGACGACCTGCTCCACAACCGCATCCCCAAAATCGCCGAGGCCACCGGGCTCACGACGGATGAGGTCAACGCGGCCCTCGACCAGATGCGCCGCCTCACCCTCCGCCCCGGCCTCAACCTCGTCGACGAGCGACCCACGAACATCATCCCGGACGCCATCGTGGAATACGACGACGACACTGACGAATACATCGCCTACCTGAGCGAGAACCGCTTCGCGAATCTTGCCGTGAACCGCGAGTACGCGATGATGGCGAAGGACAAGCAGGTCCCCAAGGAGCAGCGTGAGTTCCTCCGCAAATCGCTCTCGAACGCCAACTGGCTCATCGACGCGATCGGCCAGCGCCGCACCACGCTCCTCCGCGTTGTCAACGCGGTTGTCCAGGCCCAGCGCGAGTACCTCGACTACGGCCCGCAGGCCCTCAAGCCCCTCCCGATGACCCAGGTCGCCGACCAGCTCGGCATCCACGTCGCCACCGTCTCCCGCGCGGTCTCGGGGAAATACCTCCAGACCCCCCGGGGCATCGTTGCCCTCCGCAAGCTCTTCTCGGGCGGCACCCAGACCGACGAGGGCGGGGACATGAGCTGGGAAGCCGTTCGGGCGGCGCTGCAGGACATCATCGATTCCGAGGACAAGGCCAGCCCGCTGTCGGACGAGAAACTCGTCGCGGCCCTCAAGGAACGCGGCATCGAGATCGCGCGCCGGACGGTGGCGAAGTACCGCGACCAGCTCAACATCCCCTCGGCCAGACTCCGGAAACAGTTTTAGGGCACGCGTTGGGCGCGCCTTGTGGCGGGAGTTGCGGCCAACCGTCGGTTTTTTGGAACATTTTCTTTGCGTATTCATGCGCTGCGGGTACGCTGAAAGGTGATCCGCAAAGTCCGTCTCATGTGAGCGGCCGTGTGCGCTTCAAATCGCACATGTACTCGTTGGGGTAACGAGCAAGTGAAGAAGTCGGCAGCGCTTCTGGCGCGGTTGTTACGTCCGCTTTTTCAACGCTCATCCGCACAAGTGATGAGAGCAGTGATCGTTCCGGAACGCCTCGGCGTCCCGGCGCGGGTTCCAGTGCGCTCATCGAAGAAGCACCTTCGCTCAGGAGCTGTGTCATGATCGTTACGTGTCCCAAAGCGCGGGCCGGCGCCCGCACGATTCTCGCCGCCAGCGCGACACTCGCGCTGGCTTCCGTCGCCTCGGCCCAAACCTTCGGCTTCACCGTGACCACCACGCAGGCCAACCTCCTGCGCGGCTTCGGCCAGATCGGCGCCGATCCCTATTCCCCGATGAACGGCGGCGGCGCCGTCGGCGATTTCAATAACGACGGCTGGCAGGACCTCTTCGTCCTCGGCGGCGGCGGCGGCAGGGACATGCTCTACATCAACCAGGGCGCCACCGGCACCGTCGGGCGATTCACCGATCGCGCCGCGCAGTGGGGTGTCGATCGCCTCCACTACGGCACCGGTGTCGCCGTCGGCGATTACAACGGCGACGGCTGGCTCGACATCTACATCACCAGCGACGGGGCGCCCGGGACGGGCACCGGGCCCGGCCGGCACATCCTGTACCGCAACAACGGCGACGGCAGTTTCACCGACGTCGCGCTCCAAGCGGGCGTCAACCAGCTCTCCACCTTCGTCGGCGACGGATTCAGCGCCACCTGGGGCGACTACGACCTCGACGGCGATCTCGACCTCGCCGCGGTGAGCTACTTCGTCAACGCGGGCGGCAACCACGTCTTCCGTAACAACGGAGACGGCACGTTCACCAAAGTCACGAGCGAGGTCCTCTTCAACGAAGACGGCACCGTCTGGCACAACAACGACTGCCTCGGCTTCTCCTGCCGATTCGCCGATATGGACGGCGACCGCTACCCCGAGCTCCTGCTCGTCGGCGACTACAATTCCAGCAAGTACTTCCGCAACAACGGCGACGGCACCTTCACCAACCTGACCCCCGGCAACGGCACCGGCATCGACCGTTTCGGCATGGGCAACGACGTCGGCGACGTCAACAACGACGGCCTGCTCGACTGGTACGTCACCTCCATCATCGATTACGACACCGCGCCCAACAACGGCAACATGTTCTATCTGAACATGGGCAACCACCAGTTCGTCGAGATGAGCCGCGACCCCGGCGTCAACCTCAACCCCGCCGGCTGGGGCTGGGGCACCGTCTTCGCCGACTTCAACCACGACATGCTCCAGGACATCGCCGAGACCAACGGGTGGGGCATCCCCTACAACGAGGTCCCGTGCTACCTGTTCATGAACCACGGCAACATGCAGTTCACCAACGAGGCGGCGGAGTGCGGCTTCGATACCGTCCAGCAGGGACGCGGGATGATCAACTTCGATTACGACAACGACGGCGACCAGGACGCCGCGGTCTTCTCGAACGTTCACGGCATCACGCTCATGCGCAACGACCTGGCCGGCCCGAACACCAACTGGGTCCGCTTCTTCCTGAACACCCAGAAGAACCCCGGCATCGCGCCCAACGGCGTGCTCTCGGAGGTCCACGTCACCGTCGGCGGCGTGACGCAGATGCGCCACATCGACGCCGGCTCGAACTTCCTCTCGCAGTCCGAGCTCAGCGCCCACTTCGGTGTCGCCGGGCACGCGACGATCGATGAGGTCCGCGTCGAGTGGACCAACGGCACCGTCAAGGTGCTCACGGACGTCCCCGTCAACCAGACGATGACCATCGAGGCCAACTACCCCGGCGACGCCAACGGCGACGACTTCGTCGACTTCGCCGACCTGGTCCAGGTCATCATGCACATCGGCGACGGCAACACGAACGAGGACCTCGACGGCAACGGCGTCGTGGACTTCAACGACGCCGTCTTCGCCCTCTTCAACTGGCGCCAGTTCGAAGGCGAGGAACCCTACTGATCCCCTGGAACCACGCCGCGATCACGGGCCGGCGAGCGTGCCAAGATCACGCGAGCCAACCCCAACGGGCCCGTTCCGCGGCGGGACGCGGTCGATACTGACCAGAGAACGGGAGGCCCCTGCGGCTTCCCGTTCTTTTTTGCGTACATCGCGGTGACCACGCCCGCCCGAGGCCCCTTGTTCGGGCCGCCTATCAGGGATACAGTAGGGGTCCGAAGCGGGTCGGCTTCCGTCGCCGACCGCGCTGTTCTACGCGACTGATTCTGGAGATTCGATGGCCAAAGCCGACGACAAATTCACCATGGATGCCACCGTGCTTGACGCGTTGCCCAACGCGATGTTCAAGGTCAAGCTCGACAACGATCACGAGATCCTCGCCTACGTCTGCGGCAAAATGCGCAAGCACCGCATCCGTATCCTTCCAGGTGACCGCGTCTCCGTCGAACTCAGCCCGTACGATCTCACCAAGGCCCGTGTGACCTACCGCTACTGAGCGGCGATCACGCCGGCCCGGCCGAACCGAATTCGGCCGCATCGCACACACGACATCTCTCGAGCGTACGACACTCGATCCGGGGTCACGCCCGGCATATCGTTGTGTTCTCACGTGATCCGACCGCAAGGAGGTTGCCCATGCCCGCAGTTGCCCAGGACGCCACGACCCTCGCTTCCATCAACCCGCTCAACGGCGAGGTCGTCGGGGAGGTGCCGGTCACTCCGGCGAGCGAAGTGGCCGCCGTCGTCGAACGTGCTCGCGCCGCCGGAAAGGCGTGGGCCGCGATGACCGCGCGCGAGCGTGCCGAGATCCTCAAGCCCGCGTCCGCACGCTTCGCGGAGGAGAAGGACCGCCTCGCCGAGCTCATGACCCGCGAGATGGGCAAGATCAAGCGTGAGGCGATCTCCGAGGCGACCTACATCGCGGACTCGATCCCCGGCTCCGCCGACGAAATGGCCGAAGCCCTCGAACCAACGGTCGTGGAGAACGACCAGCACGTCACGACGCTCTACCGCGACGCCCTGGGCGTCGCCGCGTGCATCACGCCCTGGAACTTCCCCCTCGCGATGCCGCACGCGCAGGTGCTCCCCGCGCTGATGGCGGGCAACGCCGTCGTGCTCAAGCCCTCCGAGGAGACCCCGCTCTGCGCCCAGGCGTACGCGGACATCCTCAACGAGTTCCTCCCCGAGGGTGTCCTCCAGGTCGTGCACGGCGCGGACGAGCAGGGCAAGGCCCTCACCGCGAGCGACGTCGACCTCATCGTCTTCACCGGTTCCCGCGAAGTCGGCAAGCTCATCCACAAGGCCGTGAGCGACAAGCTCATCCCCGTCATTCTCGAGCTCGGCGGGAAGGACCCGCTCGTCGTGCTCGACGGCGCGGACGTCGAGGCCGCCGCCGACTACGCCACGATGAACACGTTCCGCAACTGCGGGCAGGCGTGCATCTCGACGGAGCGCATCTACCTGCAGAGCGGCGTCGCGGACGATTTCATGAAAGCGTTCGTGAAGCGGGTCGAGGCCCTGCGCATCGGCGACGGACTCGACGACGCGTCGGACGTCGGCCCCATGATCAACGCCGGCCAGCGCGAGCACGTCATCGGCCAGATCGACGGCGCCGTGAAGTCCGGCGCGACGATCGCCGTCGGCGGCGGCGACCACCCCGACGCGTTCGTCAATCCCACCGTTGTCGACAACGTCACCCACGCCATGGGCATCGCCCGCGACGAGACCTTCGGCCCCGTCGCGACAGTCACGCGCGTCGCGAGCGTCGACGAGGCCGTCGAGCTCGCCAACGACACACCCTTCGGCCTCGGCGCCGTCGTCTTCGGCCCGGAGACCGAGGCGTACGCCGTCGCGCGACGCATCGACGCGGGCATGATCGGCGTCAACCAGAGCATCCGCGGCGTGCCCGGCACACCCTGGGTCGGCGCGAAGGAATCCGGCCTCGGGTACCACGGCTCGGCCGAGGGCCACCGCCAGTTCGCGCAAGTGCGCGTCGTGAGCCGGCCCAAAGCGTAAACTCTGCCGATGCACGACATCATCTTCGACGCCCATCTCGACCTCGCCGCGATCGCCGTCAACAAGCGGGATATGCACGAGTCGGACCTGTCGCGCATCGACCGCCCCTGGCCGCCCGCGTCCGTCACGCTCCCCTCGCTCGATGCCGGACGCGTGCGCTTCTGCCTCGCGACGATCTTCACCGAGCGCGACGGCGACGGCCCCGAGGGCTACCCGAGGGGCGACGCCGAGGCCGCGTTCAAGCGCGGGCGCGCGCAGCTCGAGGCGTACCTCACCTGGCACGACGAGAAGAAGATCAACCTGGGCCTGCGCACGTTCCTCGCGGACGACCCGGGCGTCGGCGAGATCAAGGGCGGGATGGGCGTCGCCGAGCCGCGCCCGTTTTCGCTCGATTCCAAGCTCCGCAAGCTCAACAACCAGCCGCCGCTCGTCGCGGGGCTGCTCATGGAAAACGCCGACCCCATCCGCACGCCGGACGAGGTCGCGTACTGGAAATCCAAGGGGATGATCGCGACGGGCCTGACGTGGGCGCGCAACTCACGCTACGCCTCGGGCAACGCGACAACACCCGAGGAAGACACGGGCGTCACCGACGCGGGCCGCGACCTCGTCGCGGCGCTGGACGAGCACAACGTCGTCCACGACCTCTCGCACCTGAGCCAGAAGTCCACCGAGGACCTGCTGAGCCTCACGGACCGCCCCGTCATCGCGTCGCACTCCAATTGCCGCGCGATGCTCAAAGAGGGCGACCAGCGCCACCTCGCGGATTCGACCATCCAGGAGATCGCGAGCCGCGGGGGCGTCATCGGGCTCGTGCTCGCGCGGAACTTCGTCGAGCCCAACGGCGACGCGACGATCGACCTCGCGCTCGACCACGTCGAGCGCATCTGCGACCTCGTCGGCTCGCGCGCCTGCGTCGGCATCGGCTCGGACATGGACGGCGGCTTCGGCGCGGACGACCTGGTTGAGGGCATCCGCACGCCGAGCGACCTGTTCAAGCTGGGCGAGCGGCTCCGCCGGCGCGGCTGGTCCGACGACGAGGTCCACGGCTTCACGCACATGAACTGGCTGAACTTCTTCGACGCGGTGGTCAACGGCCGGCGCGTGGCCGCTTCGCGAGCGTGATCGTCAGGCGCCGCCGTCGCGCTGCTTGAGCATCTCGTCCTGGCGCTTCCGCGCTTTCTCGCCGAGCATCATCTGCTCGATGACGTCGCGGACGCGCACGCCGTCGGCGTCGATCGCGTGGCCCTCGATCGCGAGCGGCGAGATCACGCCGTACCCCAGCCCGAGGTGCAGGAGCGTCCACGCGGTGATCTCCGGGCTGAACGCCCGCGACACCCAGCCCTCTTCCTGCGCCCGGCGCACGCCGTCGACCACGAACCGGTGCAGCGCCGTGATGTGGCGCTGGATCGCCTCGAGGATGTCCGGGTCCTCGATCTCCATCATCGCCTGCAGGATCACGCGGTAGATGCCGCGACCCTTGTCCGAGATCATCGGGTTGGTGCCGATGAGCCGGCGCAGGCGCTGCGCCGCGTCCTGCGCGCTGGAGAGCTGGCGGTCCCACCGCTCGATCGTGAGCTCGCTCGTCCGGTCGATGACCGCGACGAACAGGTCCTTTTTCGATTTGAAGTGGCGGTAGATGATCGGCTCGGTCACGCCCGCGGCCCGCGCGAGCTCCGCCGTCGTCGCCCCGCCGTAGCCGCGCTCCGCGAAGAGCGTGACGGCGGTGTCGAGGAGCTGTTCGCGTCGTTGGGCGGCGGGGAGTCTGGTCATGGGTCTGATTCGTCGGGCGTCTCCGTGTGTAAATCTACACTAACTTGTCCATCTTGCGCACATCGCTCCGCCCCTCGTGGATGACGCGGCGGCACCGGGTCGATCCCGGACCCGCCCAGCGGGTGGCACCGGAGGAGCCGCCGGCACGTAAGCCACAGTGCATACAAGGGGTTATGTGTCCGGAACGCCTCTTCGCCGTACCGGCTGCATGTGGGGTGGAACCTGCATTGCCAGCCGATGAAAGGACTCAGGGTCGCCCGGTAGAGGCGGATCAGGAGGACCGCGGGCCAGCCGAGCACGGCCCACCGAGACCGGTCACGAGCCTCACCCATCGTCCGCGACTCCTCGCCTCGCCCGCTTCGCCCAGACCGTCGCGATCTCCCGCACGCACCGGTCCATCGCCTCGCGGTAGAACGCCAGGTCGCGCGGCTCGTGCGGGCGGAGGACGACGACGAGGTCCAGCCCGCTCGGCAGATCGTGCTGCGTCAGCCGGAACACCTCGCGCACGAGCCGCTTGAGCCGGTTGCGCGCCACCGCCTTGCCGACACGACGTGAGACGGAGAGCCCGAGCCGTGAATATTCGAGCCCGTTCGGCTTCCCGTAGACGGTCACGGGCCCGCTGCTCTTGCGTACGCGTGCCGCGAAGACCGCCTGGTATTCCCGGTCCTTCGAGAGGCGCTGGGGTCTCCCGAAACGGAATCGGGGCGCCGGCGTCATTGCGAGAGCGCCTGCTGGTAGCGCTGCATGAGCCGGGCACGTGTGATGCGCCCGAGCACGCGTTTGTTCTTTTCTGAGGATTCCGCGTCGAGCAGAGCGAGGCTCGAGACGTCGTGTTTGGAGAACTTCTCGAGCACGCGGTCGAGCGTCTCGTCCTCGAAGATCACAGGCAGGTCGCGCCGGAGCAGCTCCTCGACGAGCAGGTACGGGATCGCCTCGCGCTCGATCAGCGCCGTGCGCATGTCCTCGCCCGTGACGAGCCCGAGGTAGTTCCCGTCGTGATCGACGACGACGAAGTCCACGACCTTGTACACGTCGCGCAGTTCGAGCAGCTTGTCGAGCGGGTCGTCCGGGTGCACCGAGACGTGCGGGATCGGCTGGATGTCCCGCGCGGTGAGCCGGCGCAGGATCGTGAGGTCCGCGCTCGTCCCGATGAGCACGCCGCGTCGGCGCAGCTTGAGCGAGTAGATCGAGTCCTTCAGCAGCACCTGCGCGACGACGACGCTGACGACGGCCGCGAGCATGATCGGCAGCAGGACGTACACGTCGCGGGTGAGTTCGAAGAGGATGAGGATGGCGGTGAGCGGGGCGTGCGTGGTGCCCGCGACGACCGCCGCCATGCCGACGAGCGCGTAGCTCGCGGGCGAGGCGCCCTCCGGCAAAATGCCGATGGCGTCGAGGATCTCGCCGAACGCCGCCCCGGCCGCCGCGCCCAGGAACAGGCTCGGCGCGAAGACGCCGCCGCTCCCGCCCGAGCCGAGCGTGAAGCATGTCGCCAGCGCCTTGAACACCACGAGGATGAGCAGCATCAGCGTGCCCGTCTGCACGATCGCGCCGTGCGTCCCGCCCTCGGCGAACAGCTCGGGGCTGAGCAGCGACGTGATCGTCTCGTAGCCGTTGCCGAAGAAGTTGGGGATCTCCGTCGTGATGTGCACGGGCTGAAGCTCGAGGTAGACCATGCCGAGCACGCCCAGCAGCGCCGCGCCGGTCACCGGCTTGACGATCGGGTGCAGCGGGAGGCGGTCGTACACGTCCTCCGTCGTGTACAGCATCCGGATGAAGCCGACCGCGACGACGCCGCAGAACAGCCCGAGCACGAGGTAGCCGGGCAGCTCGCCGATCGTGAACTGGTACCCCGCGAGTGAATCCGAGACCGCGAAGATCGCCTCGTTCTTGCCCAGCACCGCCTGGGTGACCGCCGTCGAGAACACGCTCGAGACGACGATCGGCGTGAACGTGCGCAGCGAGAAATCGCGGAGCAGGATCTCGAGCACGAAGAACACGCCCGCGATCGGCGCGTTGAAGACCGACGCGATGCCCGCCGCGGCACCGCACCCGAGCAGCGTGCCCGCCTGGTCGCGGGAGACCTTGAGCGACTGCGCGACGAACGAGCCGATCGCGCTGCCGATCTGCACGATCGGACCTTCCGCGCCGGCCGAGCCCCCCGAGCCGATCGTGAGGACGCTCGCGAGCGATTTGGTGAACGCCACGCGCGGGCGGATCTTCGAGCCCTTGCGGTAGACCGAGTCCATCACCTCCGGGACGCCGTGACCGCGGGCCTCGGGGGCGAAGAAGTGGATGATCGTGCCGACGAAGACCGCGCCGATCATCGGGAGCAACGCGAGCGTCCAGATCGGGTAGTTCCGCTGGATCTCCGCGCCGTGGTGCGCCGCGAAATCGAGCATCCACTTGAAGCCGATCGCCCCCAGCCCCGTCACGCACCCGATGAACGACGCCAGGACAATGAGATACCAGTCGCGTCGGAAGCCGAGGCGGGAGCCGAGCTTGGACAGTCGTGCCTGGAGCCGGGTCTTCACGGGCGAGCCGGGTCCCTGGGGGGTGCGGGGGTGGGGGGGGGTGGGGAAAAGCGTACGAACGATCATCGGCCGAGCCGGCGCGAATCGGTCAAACCTACCCGCAACCCGCACGCCGCGACAACCCCGCCCGGGAGGACTCAGGCCGGCGCCTCGGCCAGGTTCGTTTCGCCCTCGGGGGCGATGGGCTTGCCCTTCTCGTCCGTCAGCGCTACGCCGTCAAGATCGCAGATCACCGGCATCGGGTTGTCCGCCTCGTGCTTCGCGAGCGCCTTCTCCCACTTCTCCTTCGTGGCGTCGTCGAGCTCGGACCACTTCCCACGCCCGCGACACTTGGGGAACGCGCTGCAGCTGAGCCAGGGCCCGCGGGCGCCGTTGCGCAGATTGAGCGGGCTCTCGCATTTCGGGCAGGGCAGGTCGGTCTTGAGCGGCGGCACCGCCGGCGGCACCACGTTGCCCTTCTTGTCGAGCTTGAGGATCCCGTCGCACTCCGGGTACGCACTGCACCCGAGGAACGGGCCGAAGCGTCCGGACCGCTTGATCATCGGCGCGCCGCACTGGTGGCAGGCGACGTTGGTCGTCTCGATCGGCTTGGGCTTGCCCTCGCGGTCGACCGGGCACGCGTACGTGCACTTGGGGTACCGCGAGCAGCTCAGGAATCGCCCGCTCTTGCCGAAACGGTAGACCGTCGGCGCGTCACACTCCTCGCACTTGTATTCCTCGGGCGCCGGCTGCGTCTCGGCCTTCGCGTGGACCATGTCCTCGTGCGCCCGCTCGAGCTGGCGGGCGAAGGGCCCGTAGAAGCGCTCGAGCACCTCGACCCAGTTGAGGTGGTCCTCCTCGATGCGGTCGAGCTCCTGCTCCAGGTCGCGCGTGTACCCGAGCTCCATGATGTTCGGGAAGCCCTCCATGAGCTTGTCCGTCACCACCTCGCCCAGGTCCGTCGCGTAGAAGCGGCGCTCCATGAGCTCGACGTACTTCCGGTCCTGGATGACGCCGATGATCGACGCGTACGTCGACGGCCGCCCGATCCCCTCGGACTCGAGCGTCTTGATGAGCGACGCCTCCGTGTAGCGGGGAGGCGGCGAGCTGAACCGCTGGCTCGGCTCGATGCTGAAGGGCCACGCGTGCTCGCCCTCCTTCACCTGAGGGAGTGTCTGCTCGTCCGACGCGGTCGGCACGCCCGAGACGCGGTAGAAGCCGTCGAACGCGAGCACGCGCCCCGTCGCGCGGAACGTCACGGGCGTCTTCGGGTCCGTCCCGCCCTTGAGCAGGACCGCGGTGGAGTCCCACTCCGCGGGCACCATCTGGCAGGAGATGAACCGCTCCCAGATGAGCTTGTAGAGCTTGAACTGGTCCTCGTTCAGCGCGTGCTTCACCTTGTCCGGCGGGTAGTCCGTGGAGGTCGGGCGGATCGCCTCGTGGGCCTCCTGCGCCGCCTTGTTCGAGCTGCCGAAGAAGTTGGGCTTCCCCGGGAGGTATTTGTCGCCGTACGTGGATTTGATGTACCCGCGCGCCATCTCGAGCGCGTCGCCCGAGAGGTGCGTCGAGTCGGTACGCATGTAGGTGATCAGGCCGATCGAGCCCTCGCCCTTGATCTCGACGCCCTCATACAGACGCTGCGCCGTGCGCATCGTGCGCTGCGCGCCGAAGCCGAGCCGCGAGCTCGCCGCCTGCTGGAGGGTGGAGGTGATGAACGGCGCGCCGGGTCGCGAGGTCGTCCGCTTGGTCTCGATGGACGCGATCTCGTACTCCGCGCTCGTGTCCACGTCGCCCGTGACGGTCCGCAGGAATTTCGCGGGGCCCTTGCCCTTCTCGTCCTCGACGGTCTCCCGCTTGATGTTGGTGAGCCCCGCCAGCGCCGCGACGTCGGCCACGCGCTTCGTGAGGTCCTCTGGCTTCGCCTCCTCCTTGCCTTTTTGCGAGATATCAAACGCCTCGCCGCCGACCTCGACGAGCTCCGCCTTGATCCCGCCCTTGTCCGCGAGCCAGGCGTTCTGCTTCTTGATGGTGGGGGTGTTGCCCTTCTCGTCCTTCGACTCGATGAACTCGCCCCACGCCGGCGCGAGCTTGCCGGCGAGCGCCTTGTCCAGCGCGAAGCGGCCGGTCACCTTCCACGTCTCGTCCGGGATGAAGGCCAGGATCTCGCGCTCGCGTTCGACGACAAGACGCACCGCCACGCTCTGCACGCGCCCGGCGCTGAGGCCCCGCGCCACCTTCTTCCAGAGCAGCGGCGAGACCTGGTAGCCCACGATGCGGTCCAGCACGCGGCGCGCCTGCTGGGCGTCGACCTTGTTCATGTCGATCGTGTGCGGGTTGGAGAAGGCGCGGTCGATCTCGCGCTTGGTGATCGCGTTGAAGACGACGCGCTTCGCGTTCGCCGGCTCGACACCCAGGATCTGCGCGAGGTGCCAGGCGATCGCCTCCCCCTCGCGGTCGAGGTCGGTCGCGAACCAGATCTCGGTCGCGCCCTTGGCCGCCCGCTTCAGCTCGCTCACCGTCTTGTTCTTGCCCGGGAGGATCTCGTACGTCGGCTCGAAGCGGTGCTCGAGGTCCACGCCCGGGACCGGCACCTTCTCGCCCTTCTTCGCCTTGGACGGCAGGTCGCGGACGTGGCCCACGCTCGCCTTCACGACGTAGTCCGACCCCAGGTACTTGTTGATGGTCTTCGCCTTGGCCGGCGATTCGACGATCACGAGCTTCTTGCCCGAGGCGCTGGCGCCGGAGGACGAAGCGCTCCGCCTGGAGGGCTTCTTCTTCGTCGTCTTCTTGCTCGTCTTCTTCTTGGTGGTCTTTTTCTTGGCCATCGTGCCTCAGACGCCCCGATTGACCCCGGGGTCACGGGGATGCCGAACAATATATGAACAGATCGATCGCGAGCCAAGGGCCCGCGCCGGGATACTCAGAACCCCCGGACCCGCTTGTCAAGCCGATCACTCGGAGTTTTCTTCGTCCCGATTCACTCCGGGCGGTGATTATCGGGTTCTGTCAGGAACCTCGCCCCGATCCATTTTCCGACCGCGAGCCCCTCACCGCGCCTCCCCCAAAACCGCTCGGACGATCCTTTCCGTCGCGTTTTCCTCGCTCGCCTCCTCCATCTCGATCCACACCGAACCGGGCGTCACGCGGAGGCGGCGGAGCCACGTGCGCTGGTTCTTTGCAAATCTTCGGGTTTCGATCTTGATGCGCTCGATCGCCTCCTCGAGCGAGCACTTCCCCTCGAAATGCGCGATGAGCTGCTTGTACCCCAGCGCCTCACGGGACTGCTCCCCGTACGCCCCGTTCTCCCAGAGCTGTCTGGCCTCTTCGACGAAGCCGCCCTCGACCATCGCCTTCACCCGGGCGTTGATCCGACGGTTCACCCCCTCGCTCGACCACACGAGCCCGACGAGCACCGCGTCCTCACGCACGCCGCCCGCGTCCCACTGGCTCTGCTGGGCGCTCATCGGCTCGCCCGTGAGCTTCCACACCTCCAGCGCCCGGACGGTCCGCCGAACGTCATTCGCGTGGATCCGCGCCGCGCTCTCGGGGTCGATGCGTTCGAGCAGCGCCCGACGCTCGCCCGGGTCCATCGCCGTCAGCTCGGCGCGCAGCGCCTCGTCCGCGGACGGCCCCTCGAAGAGGCCCTCGAGCAGCGCCTTCACGTACAGGTGCGTCCCGCCCACAACGATCGGCACGCCCCCCGTGCCGCGGATCTCCTCGATCGCCGCCTCCGCCCGCCCGAGCCACCGCTCCAGGTTGAAACTCTCGTGCGGATCGACCACGTCGATGAGGCGGTGGGGGACCCCGCCGCGCTCGGCCTCCGTCGGCTTGGCGGTGCCGATGTCCATGCCCCGGTAGACCATCATCGAGTCGGCCGAGACGATCTCGGTCCCCTCGCGAGCCCGCTCGGTCAGCGCGTGCGCGACGCGGACCGCCAGGCCGGTCTTTCCCCCGGCCGTGGGCCCCACGATCACCGGCATGCGGGGTAGCATGCTCACCCTTCGATCCCCAAGCCCGTCCGGGAGGACGACATGCCCAAGGCCACGATTGATTCGATCGACGTTTCCGGGAACCGCGTGCTCATGCGCGTCGACTTTAACGTCCCGCTCGAGGACGGCGCGATCACCGACGACCGACGCATCCGCATGGCCCTGCCCTCGATCACCTCCGTCCTGGAGCGCAACGGGCGGCTGATCCTCATGTCGCACCTGGGACGGCCCGCCGGCTCGGGCTACGAAGAAGAGTTCTCCCTCGAGCCCTGCGCCGAGCGGCTCTCCGAGCTCCTGGGCGAGACCTGCCGCGGGAAGGTGCTCTTCCCGTCGCACGACTGCGTGGACGCCGAAGCGGCGTCCGCGGTCGAGCGCCTCGCGGACGGCGAGTGCGTTCTGCTCGAGAACCTGCGGTTCCACGCCGCCGAAAAGAAGGGCGACGAGGCCTTCGCCGCCAAACTCGCGTCGTACGGGGACATCTACTGCAACAACGCCTTCGGCACCTGCCACCGCGAGGACGCGTCGATGGTCGCGGTCCCCGAGGCGATGCGCGGCAAGCACCGCGTCGCGGGCTCGCTCGTCGAAAAGGAAATCCGCTTCCTGGCCGACACGCTGGAGGACCCGCGGCGTCCCTTCGTCGTCGTCATCGGCGGCGCGAAGGTCTCGGACAAACTCCCCGCGATCGAGAACCTGGCGCGCAAGGCGGACCACATCCTCATCGGTGGCGCCATGGCGTACACATTCCTCAAGGCGCAGGGCGTCAAAGTCGGCACGAGCCGCGTCGAAGACGAGATGCTCGAGCAGGCCAAGCAGGCGATCGCCTTCGCGTCGGACCACGACTGCCAGATCCACCTCCCGGTGGACCACGTCTGCTCGACCACCTTCGATGAGAAGACCGGCGACAACAAAACGTTCACCGGCGACATCGGCGAGGGGTACATGGGCCTGGACATCGGCCCCGAGACGCGCCTGAAGTTCACCGGCGTGCTCAAGGACGCGAAGACCATCGTCTGGAACGGGCCGATGGGCGTCTTCGAGTGGGGCCTCTTCTCCGTCGGCACCAAGCAGGTCGCCGAGGCCATCGCCGAGGCGACGGACGCCGGCGCGCTCTCCATCGTCGGCGGGGGCGACTCGGCAGCCGCGGCGGGGCAGTTCGGCGTCGATGCGCGCCTGAGCCACGTCTCGACCGGCGGCGGCGCTTCGCTCGAGATGCTCTCGGGCCACGCCTTCAAGAGCGTCGAGCTGCTCGACAACATCGATTGATTCCCGCTCGGCGAGGCTGAATCCGATCGAATCTCAAAGATGAGCGCATTGTCATGCACGGTTCACCGTGCGCGCAAATCGCGTGGTCATGCTGTGTGCATGCAACATGCGGCGAGTCGTCGCAGATCAACAACCTCAAAGGAACAAGCCGCCACGGCACGTTCTGCAACACAGCCAAGGAGACACACCATGACACGGACACGCACGCGACGAAACACTCGGATCAAGGCCCCTCTCGCGATCGCCACGGCCGCGGCCCTCGGCGGCGGACTGGCCATGACCGGCTGCACATCGAGCCGCAGCACGGCGATGCACAACGCGTCGTACGACAGCACACCGACGTACTCGAACGCCGCGAGCTTCAGCGATCTCGCGATCAGCGTCGAGAAGAAGGCGCCCGGCAAGGTCCGCGTCGGCGAGGCGTTCACCTACGAAATCCGCGTGCGGAACAACACGGACGCGACGCTCCACAACGTCGTGATCAACGAGCAGATCGAGCGCGCCGGCTACGCCGTGCTCTCCTCGGCCCCCGACCGTGACGTCCCGAGCCGCGACTACGACACCACGAAGGCGGATTACCCGCAATGGAAGCGGGACCCCCCCGGGAACTCCTACGACGACCGCGACATGACACGCGACTACTTGCCCGATCGCCGCACCACCACCGCTTCGAACGCAACGACGGGCGAAGAGGCCAGGCGCGTACGCATCGCCGACCTCGGCGCCCAGGGCGAGAACACCTGGCGCATCGGCACCCTCGCGCCGGGCGAGTCCGAGGTGATCACGGTGAAGGCCGTCGCGGCCGAGGCCGGGACCCTCGCGTCCTGCATGACCGTGGACTACGACCCCATCATCTGCACGACCGTCGAGGCCGTGGAGCCGGAGCTCAAGATCGAGCGTCTGCTCGCCGACGGCCAGTCGAGCGTGTACGCCTGCGACGACATCAAGGTCACCTACCGGATCACCAACGCTGGCGGCATCGAGACGCGCCCGCTCACGCTCGAAGAGCCCCTCCCGCGTGCGATCCGCACGTCGAACGGCTCGGGCCAGGTGGCGATGAACTTCGACACGATCCGCCCCGGCAAGGCCGTGACCAAGACCGTCACGCTCAGCGCCCAGGACGCCTACACCTTCCGCAACCGCGCCTTCATCGAAACGGCCGACGGCGAGAAAATCTACTCCAACTTCGGCGAGATCGACATCCTCGATCCCGAGATCAGCCTGAGCGTTGACGGCCCGAGCAGCGACTACATGAACCGCACGATCACCCACACCGTGACCGTGCGCAACACGAGCGAGGACCCCGCCAAGGACGTCAAGGTCACCGCCGACATGCCCGCCGGGATCAAAAACCTCGCCTTCTCGAGCCAGCGGCTCGAGCGTCGCGGCAACACCGTGACCATCGGCGATCTCGCGCCGGGTGAGGCCCGCTCCTTCAACTTCACCTTCGAGCCCAACAAGGTGGGCGACTACAGCTCCAGCTTCACCGCCACGGGCTACTGCGTCGACCAGCAGGTCAAGACCGTGAACACCGACGTGAAGGGAATCCCCGCGATCCGCATCGAGGTCATCGACAAGAACGACCCCGTGCGCGTCGGCGAGGAAGCGCACTACGAGGTCCGCGTGAAGAACCAGGGCTCCGCCAAGGGCCTGGACATCAACCTCGTGGCGATGATCCCCGAGCAGATGGAGTTCGTCCGAGCCGAGGGCGACCGCACCGCCGAGTACACGCGGAACATGATCACCTTCGAGCCGGTGCCCGAGCTCGCGCCGGGCGATATCGAGGTCTGGAACCTCTTCCTCAAGACGACGGACGAGGGCCGCGTGAAGTTCGAGGTCCGGCTCAAGAGCGACGTGAACACCACGGACGTGATCGAGCAGGAGCCGACGACGATCTTCAAATAATCGCGCGCCGCGCCCTCCGATGAGGGCGAGCGCACCGATTGGCTGAATCCAAGCCCCGCCGACGCACAGGGTCGGCGGGGCTTTCGCGTTTTGGGTGTCGCCAGCCCGGATCCCGGTTTCGAACGCCAGTTTTCGCCGAACTGCACTAAGATGTATTCGGCGGGTGACGGTGTCTGTGCACCCATTCCGGAAGGAGCCAACGCGTGTCCAACGACAAAATCACGATGTGGAAGCTGCTCTACAACATGCGCAAGACGGACGCGTCCGACCTGCACATCAAAGTCGGCCAGCCCCCCGTCTTCCGCATCGGCGGCGAGCTCCGCTCTCCCCAGAACATGAGCCCGCTCACCGTCGAAGACACCAAGCGCCTGCTCTCGGAGATCCTTCCCCCGCAGATGCGCCACAAATACGAGGAAACCGGCGACGTCGACTTCTCCACCTTCCAGGACCACGAGCCCAACCACGATCCCAACGACACGATGACACCCGAGCACGAGCGCAAGCGCGACCGCTTCCGTTGCAACGTCTTCCGCGCCGGCGGCGGCATGCACGCCGCGATTCGGCGCGTCAAACCCGAGATCCCCTCCTTCGAGGAGCTCGGCCTCCCCCCCGTGTACGAGCGCGTCGTCGACCAGACGGCCGAGGGGCTCATCCTCGTCGTCGGCATCACCGGCTCGGGCAAGTCCACCACGCTCGCGTGCATGCTCGACCGCATCAACGCGACCAAGGGCGTGAACATCGTCACCATCGAGGACCCCGTCGAGTTCCAGCTCCACCCCAAGAAGGCGATCATCTCGCAGCGCGAGCTGGGCACGGACGTCGAGTCCTACGGCAAGGCGCTCAAGTACGTCGTCCGCCAGGACCCCGACGTCATCTTCATCGGCGAGCTCCGCGACCACGACACCGTCATGGCCGCCGTCCAGGCCGCCGAGACGGGACACCTCGTCTTCGGCTCGCTCCACTCCGCGGACACGATGCAATGCTTCGGGCGCATGATCGAGTTCTTCCCGCAGAACGAGCACGCCTTCATCCGCGCCGCCCTCGCGAACACCATGAAGGCCGTCTTCGCCCAGCGACTGCTCCCGGCGCAGGCCGAGACCGCCGGCGCCCCGGTCGTCCCGGCCTACGAGGTCCTCCTCGCCAACGGCTCCGTCCGCGAGGCCATCCGCGACGGCGAGGACGCCAACCTGCCCACCATGATCAACGCCGCGGCGAGCGACGGGATGATCTCCTTCACCGCCTGCCTCGCGAAGCTGGTGGAGGAGGAGAAGATCACCATGAGCACCGCCCTGGAATACGCCCCGAACCGCGAGGCGCTCCAGTCACGCATCAAGGGCGTGGAGGTCCGTGCCTCGACGCTTGTCGGCAAAAAGTAAGGTTTTTGTTCTGTTCGGCGAGGGGGACAGGGCCGCCCGACATTCACCGATTTCGCTCCCGATGCCCGATCCTCTACAATCCACGAGCGCAACGCTCACCACGCGCCAACGAACCCCCACGCGTTGAACACCGCCCGCGCAGGACGCGCCACGCGACTCACACGCGACAAGGCCCCCTCATGCCCCACTCCGCATCGCACCGGGCACAGAAACCCCAGGGCGACCCCGCCTCATCCACCGCCGCCCTGCAGGCGCTCGATCAGCAGTCGCTGCGCCCCGAGACCCTGGGCTCGCTCGTGCTCACCGCCCGGCTCGATTCGCTCACCATCGCCGAGCGATGGGCCGCGGTGGACCGGGAGTCCGGCGTCGCCTCCCTCGCCTACCGCCTCCACGAGCGTCCCGCGCCGAGGGCGCTCGCCCGCCTCCGGAGCCGCGCGAACGACGCACGCCCCCACCTGCTCACCATCGAGAGCGTGCTCACCGACGAAACCCGCCACGCCTGGCTCGTCTGCCCCTACTTGGGCGACGCCTCGGGTGTTCTGACGCTCGAGGCCGCCATGCGCCGCCGGGGCGACGCGATGCCCGTCATCGAGGCCACCCACGCCGTCTCGCACGTCCGCGCCGCCCTCTCCAGCCTCCGCGCCGCCAAACTCGTGCACCCCAACCTCACGCTCGACCAGCTCGTCGTCTGCCCCCGAGGCAGCCTGCACATCGAGCTCCCGGGCGTCGCGACGATCCTCGACGAGCCGACGCGCTCCGAGTCCTCGACCCCCGCGGCCGACGACCGCCTCGCCGCCCAGCTCGCCGCCCAGATGCTCACGGGCGACCCCGGCGCCACCGCGCGCACCCTCCGCGAACGGTTCAAACGCCGCCAGCGGGCGGACGTGGTGGATTGGGCGTTGCGGGTGCTCGGCTAATCGCCCGGATTTTCTCTCACCAATCGATCACCGCTCGGCGCACGCCCGAATCGGCGCATACTTGCGTATTCGCACACTTATCCCAACGAGGAGGAGATATCCCATGGGCCAACGCAAGACCCTTGTTTCCGTGTCCGCGTGCGCCGCGGCCGTGCTCGGCTTCGCGTTCATCGCCAATTCCGGCCCCCTGGACCCGCCCGGCGGCCCCGTCGCGCCGACCGGGCGGACACTCAGCGAGATCTACAACGCCGTCCAGGCGGTTGGCTCGGGCGGCCCGTCGACCGTCGAGCCGGTCGCCGAGATCCGCGAGGTCATCGCCCTGACCGTCGTGGGGCAAGCCCAGGGCAACATCGACGGCGAAGATTCGATCTTCGGCATGCAGAACGTCATCAAGTGTTTCGGCATCGAGCACGAGATCTCTGTGCCGTTTGACGGGCCCAGCGGCAACCCCACGGGCCAGACGCTGCACGGCGCGGTCCGGGTGAGTAAACAGGTCGACCGCGCCTCACCCCTCCTCGCACGGATGGCGACGACGTTCGAATCCGGCGAGGTGGTCCTCCGCATGTTCAAGCAGAACATGCAGACGGGGATGGTGCAGCACTACTACACCATCCGCCTCAGAGATGTCGTGATCACATCGATCGAGCAGGGCCACACGGACGTCTCACGCGACCGCATCACGCACGAGGAGCACGTCTCGTTCGCCTACCAGCGCATCGAGTGGACGCACGAGATCGAGGGGACGTCGAGCTCGGCGGATGTGGGGGGTGGGGCCGGGCGGTGAGTCACCCGAGCGCGCTCATCACGAGAGATCTGATCTCGTCGCTCGAATAGTGAGGGCGTGCCGGCACGCGCAGGAGCGGTAGGTCGATCGTGAGGCAGAGTCGGTCGACGAATTGATCCCGTTCGACACGGCGTGCCCCCCGGTGCGACGCGTCGTCGACTTCGATCACGAGTGCCGTGCGCAAGGATTCGTTGTCACACACGACAAAGTCGACCGATTTTCGGTCGACTTTGTTTTTCCAGCTCTGACGGTTTTCCGTCCCCTTGCGCACGCTCGCCACGGACTGCAGCGAGAGCTGGGGCATGATGACGAACGGAAGCCCGCGCAGCGCCTCGTGCAGCGCAAAGTAGAACTCGCGCTCGTTCGCGGTCAGGGGCGACTTCCGAGCGACGTAGGGCAACAGTTCCGGCGCGGGTGCCGGCCCCGGGCCGAGATTCCCGAGTGCTTTGACGGCGAGCGCCAGCACGATGAGCACAACAAAGACGATCGCCGCGATCACAATGAGATTGGTCATAAAAAATGCTCCGCGAGGTGCGGAGCATCATAATAAATCGAAGTTATGGGTGGGTTGTGCTTACGTCCACGTATCCGCCTTCTTCTCCTCCGCCGCGTCGAACCGGCTCTTGTCCACGCCCTGGCCCGTCCCGTTGACCGAGTGCGTCGTGCCGTTGAGGGGGAAGCCGTCGGGCTTGTGGAGGCCGTCCTTCTCGAGGGGGTAGTGGCCTTCCTTCCACGACTCGGGGTAGGCCGGGTCGTCCATGCCCAGGGCCGCCTTCGTGGGGAAGAGGGGGCGGAAGGTGTCGCACATCACCGCGAGCTCGTCCGTCCACGTCGCGCCGATGGACTTTTCGACCGTGCCCGGGTGCGGGCCGTGGGGGATGCCCTGCGGGTGGAGCGAGACGGAGCCGACGCCGATGCCCTTGCGCGCCTTGTAGTTGCCCTCGACGTAGTAGAGGACCTCGTCCGAGTCGATGTTGGAGTGGTTGTAGGGCACCACGATCGCCTCGGGGTGGTAGTCCAGCATGCGCGGGCAGAACGAGCAGATCACGAAGTTGTGGCCCTCGAAGGTCTGGTGGATCGGGGGCGGCATGTGCAGCTTGCCGGTGATCGGCGCGAAGTCATCGATGTTGAAGCAGTAGGGGTAGTAGCACCCGTCCCACCCGACGACGTCGAGCGGGTGGTAGTGGTACGTGTACGAGTGCACCGAATCGAGCGCCTTGATCCGCACCTCGAAATCGCCCAGCTCGTCGTACGTCAGCGGGTACTCCGGGACCCGCAGGTCCCGCTCGCAGTACGGCGAGTGTTCGAGGAACTGCGCTGTTTTCTTCGACATGTACCGCGGCGGCGGCATGATGTGCGAGGCGTTGCACGTCTCGAAGCACACGAAGCGGCCGAAGGGCATGTCCTCCTTCGAGAGCCCCTCGGGGCGGTCCTCGTCGGACAGCTCGTCGAACTCCATCCGGTAGATCGTGCCCTTGGGGATGACGATGTAGTCCTTCTTCCCGAACTTGAGCGTGCCGAACATCGAGTAGAGCGTGCCCGAGCCGTAATGCACGAAGACGCACTCGTCGCCCTGGCCGTTCTTGAAGTGGTAGGGCATCTGCTCGGCCGGGGTGCACATCGACATCTCGACGTCCGCGTTGCCGAGGATCACGACGCGCCCGGAGACGGGGTCGCCCTTGGGCGGCATGTCCATCGTCTTCATGTGGCGCATGCGCATCGTGTCCGTCTCGACGTACTCGGGCTTGGTGGAGTACTTCGTCTCCCACCCGAAGACCTGCGTCGGCGGGTGGATGTGGTACATCGTGGAGGTCGGGCCCACGAAGCCCTCCGTCCCGAAGAGCTCCTCGGAGTACAGCGCCCCGTCCGGGCGGCGGAACTGCGTGTGGCGCTTCTTCGGGAGGTTCCCGAGTTTGGTGTAATACGGCATAGGATCACTCCCATCTCGAGTGGTCGGCGAGGGTTGATTGGATCCCTCGATTGTAGATCGCTTCGGCGGAAAAGGGGAGAGCTTTTCAAGTGAGCAGTCAAAGTTTCGATTGGCCGAAGAATCTTCGTCGGATTGCCGGGAGATCGTGGAAATGAGCCGCCGCATCGCCGTGGTGACCTCCTCCCGCGCCGACTGGGGCCACGTCCACTGGCCGCTCCACGAGCTGCGCGAGCGGGCGAAGAGAGACGGAGGCGAGGTCAGGCTCATCGTCATGGGCGCCCACCTCGCGAGCGAGTTCGGCGAGTCCGTCCGCGAGATCGAGGCCGCGGGGTTCGAGGTGGACGAGCGCGTCGAGTGCCTGCTCAGCTCGGATTCGGACGTGGGCATGGCCAAGACCATCGGCCTCGCGACGCTCGGGCTCACCGAGGTCCTCTCGCGGATGCGCCCGGACATTCTTCTTGTGATTGCCGACCGCTACGAGATGCTCGCCCCGGCGAGCGTGGCGTGCGCCCTGCGTATCCCCATCGCGCACATCGAGGGCGGCGAGGTGAGCGAGGGCGCGATCGACCACGTCGTGCGCAACGCGCTGACGATGATGAGCCACATCCACCTCGTCCCGACCGAACTCGCGGCCAGACGAGTGGAAGCGATGGGCGAGGAGCCGTGGCGCATCCACCGCACCGGCGCGCCGTCGCTCGACCACCTGCGCCGCTCGACGCTCCCGACGCGCGACGAGTTGCAGAACACCCTCGGCCTCGACCTCGAGCCGGGCTACCTCGTCGTGGCGCACCACCCGGTGACCATCGAACGCGACACCGCCCGCGAGGCGGAGGCCGTGTTCGAGGCGCTGGGGATGGTCGGCCGCCAGCTGATCCTCTGCTACCCGAACGCGGACGCGGGCGGGCGGGAGATCGCGTCCCGCGCGCGCCAGCTCTGCGATACCCACCGCAACGCGACGCTCTTCACGAACCTCAACCACCTCGCCTACTGGGCCCTGCTCCGCGAGTGCGAAAAAGGTGGGGGGGCGATGGTGGGCAACTCGTCTAGCGCGATCATGGAAGCGCCCTCGCTCAAGCTCCCCGCCGTGAACATCGGCCGGCGCCAGGACGGGCGCGAGCGGGCGCGGAGCGTGATCGACTGCGCCGCGGACGTGAACGCGATCCTGCAATCGATCGACCGTGCGTGCTCGGACGGGTTCCGCGACTCACTCAAAGGCATGAACTCGCCCTACGGCGACGGGCACGCAGGGGAGAAGATCGCGGAGTCGCTCTTCGGCTGTCCGCTGGGGGGCGAGTTGCTGGTCAAAAAAGGGATGAGTGTGTGAGCGGGACGATTAGTCTTTCGCCCCCGTCAACCCATAACTCTCATCCAGCCACTTCCCCCAGATCCTCTTCGCGAGCGGCTTCTCCGCCGTGAACCGCGCCGTCACCCAGCCGTTCTTGCCGACCTCGAACTCGTCCGGCTTCTCGGCCGCGAGCTTCTCGGCCTGCGGCATCGACTTCTCCAGCTTGAACATCGCCTTGAATCGCTTGCCCTGCGGGCCGGCGTAGAGGAACGCCTTCTTGTTCGCCTTGAAGGACGACTGCGTGCACGCGGTGCCGGTGTCGACGCCGGGGTACTCGCTCGCCTTGACCCGGATGGGTTCGGTGGGGTCGGCGGCGATGGCGCTCACGACTTCGCGGTGCGGCGGTGGTTGCGAGTCCGTCGCGCCTTCTCGTGCTCCGCCTTCTTCGTCAGCGCGAGGAACGCAAGCCCCGCGACACACACGAGCACGAGCGTGACCGACACGGCCGTCGGCGCGACCTGCAGGAACCACATGAACAGCGCCACGAGCAGGAACACGATCAGCAGCGGGGTCATCGTCGCGCGAACGGCCGGGGTCATGGCGATACCTCCTCGGGGTGCGTCACCCCGTGAAACTACCACACCCACCGCCCGAGCGGAAGGGTTTTTTACGTCCGAGCGGCCTGTTCCTTCTCCGCCAGCACGCGCCGGCGGCGCTTGAGCTCGGCGTCGATGAAGGGCTGGACGTCGCCGTCGAGCACCGACTGCGGGTTGCCGACCTCGTGGTTGGTCCGGTGGTCCTTCACGCGGTTGTCGTAGATGACGTAGGAGCGGATCTGCGTGCCCCACCCGCGGTCGACCGCGCCGCCAGAGGCGTCCTTGATCTCCGCCGCCCGGCGCTCCTCCTCGAGCTGCTCGAGCTTCGCCTGGAGGATGCTCAGCGCCTGGCGCTTGTTCTGCTGCTGGTCGCGGTGGGTGGAGGAGACGACCATGATGCCCGTCGGCTTGTGCACCATGCGCACGGCGGACGCGACCTTGTTCACGTTCTGCCCGCCCGGGCCGCTCGAGCGCGCAAACGCGGTGATCTCCAGCTCCGTGTCCGGGATCTCCACCTTCGTCTCGGCGAACTCTGGGACGACGTCCACCGTCGCGAAGCTCGTCTGCCGCTTGCCCTGCGCGTTGAACGGGCTCACCCGCGCGAGGCGGTGCGTGCCGCGTTCGCACTTGAGGTAGCCGAAGGCGAAGGGCCCCTTGACGTGGAGCGTGACGGAATCGAGCCCGACCTCGGTGCCGTGGGAGAGCTCGACCTCCTCGACGTCCCACTCCTCGTGCCACTGCTCGAGGAAGCGGAGGTACATGCGGTAGAGCATCTCGCACCAGTCGTTGGCCTCGGTGCCGCCGTCGCCCGCGTGGATGGTGAAGTAGCAGTTGCGCGTGTCGTGCTTGCCCGCGAGGAGCGAGAGCAGCTCGACCTTCTCCATGCGCTGCTCGAGGTCGTGGAGGGCCTCGTCCGCCTCGACGAGCAGGTCGTTGTCGCCCGCCTCCTTCGCCATCTCGTAGGCGACCTGGGCGTCCTCGAAGTCCGACGCGACCGCCTTCACGGGCTCGATCTGCGCCTTGATGGTCTTGAGTTCCCCGACGACGGCCTGGGCCTTGTCCTGGTTGTCCCAGAAGTCCGCGGCCCCCATCTTCTCTTCCAACTCCTTGAGTCTGCTGACTTTGGAGTCGTAGTTAAAGAGAGTCGCGGATCGTTACAATCCGCGCCTCGAGGTCGTCGATGACGCCTTGGTGTGATTCGTAGTGCATGGCGGGAGTGTAGCTTCGACCGCGTGGACCCGTCGGGGCGGACGGGTGGAATTCAGAGGCGATTTTTCTTTCCGTGGGGCGCGAAATCCGGGGGGCGGCGTCGTCTTTCTGGTGGAACGAATATACCCCACCTCCGGATACACGAGGACACCGCCATGCTCACCGAACGCCTCGCCGTCGCCTTCGCGGCCGTCACCCTCACCCTTCCGCTCGCCACGTCCGACGCCTTCGCGCAGCAGGGCGTCGAGTGGCTGACCCGATCGCAGGGCACCGCCGCCCAGGTCTACGACATCGACTGGCCCGGCGGCCCGCTTGACGCCTTCCTCGACGGGCTCGACACCTCGACCCCCCATTCGTTCATCTACCCAAAGGGCGCCGAGTACATCGAGCTCCAACCCTTCTCGATCACGCGGTCCTTCCCGGCGGAGACGCTCCGCATCGTCCATGGTCTGGTCCCCGGGTTCTCGTACAACGCCGAGGGCGGGGACATGGTCTTCTGGGATGACGAGGGCGCCGAGCAGGACCTCACTCGTCCGTGGACCTACGTCGTCTCCCTTGCGCCCGAGACGATCGCGTCGGCGATG